CAGACAACCACCAGACCCATCCTCATCATGAACAACCATAACCGAAAGATCGACATATATAGAGAAATTGTTGAATCATGGTACCAAAAATACCATCTACCCTAAACCAGATCCTTAGAATCCTCATGACTTCCATCGATTTAATTATGGATCCTATGCTTCCAGCAAAATGAGCCCAATACTACCTTCGACACCTATCCATACTTCCTTAAGAATCAACCTGAGTCTTCTAAGTCACCTACTCATAATAGTACTTCTAATACCATACAAACAACATAGCAACCACACTAAAATACGTCCTGTTCTCTCCTAGGATTCCCCACCTCCGCTACCATCAGCTGCTGAAGAACCTGTATTAATGTTAGCTAACCACTTCATGAATACAATTACATATAAAAGAACTTAAATAATCTTTCAACTAAAAGAATTAAACCTACAACGGTTAGACTCAGACAAAGAGCTATGCAATAGGAACATATCATTCACTCTAAGATTATTTAACCTTCGTAGCATGTAAGTTAGTGTATTCATTTAATAGTTAACTCACCTCATTATGAGTCCCATAACGCACAAAGTAAGCAACATTCGAGCAGTGGAGTTGCCTGACACTAAGACTGAATAAAATCAGGCAAATCGTTGAATGTAATTCTCGACCTCTAGGCCCAAGCATCTAGGGTACACATTTATCTTGTCCTCACTTTCTCATGAGTGGCTAATCATTCTTCATGCTAACCTGCTATAAACTCCACCTAGTTTTGAAACTTCCACCAACCCTGCAGCCACTTGTGGATGCTAATCATACATAAAATTGGATCCTATAGACAATCAAATACTTTCCTCTTACCTAATCCCTTTATCAGATAGGAACATGAAATAAACCTAAATCAAACACTCTCATGCTATAGAATCTTTGTTATGTACAACTATGATGCACATACTAAGCAACTACATCACTGATGTCAATTTCATCTAACATATAAGAAGTCCTCGTATGCTATTAGGCATCCTACATTAGTCAATTCTATCATGCATCTTCTGAAGACCCCAACATATCACTAGCATGCGGTTCTATCATGATCATCGTAAACAAGTAATAATGTGGTAACTTGGGTTATACTTCCTGGATTCGGCTGATATTACACATCTCATCCTTCTTTTGTTACCTTTTAAAACAATTTGAAAAACATTTCTGAAAACAACTTTGAAACAATTTGAAAAAAATGTAAACTTTTATGGATGCTTAGCTTAATATAGCATTTACACGAGTGCTCATCCAATTCACTCGAACCAGGGCTCTGATACCAATGTCTAACATCCCAAAAATCACGGTAAATTTTTTGTTTTTAAAAAAACAAGATAATGACTATAATTATTTACAAACAATGTTTTCAAATTTTATAATTACAAATAAGAGTATTTTAAGATCGAATATCATAAAATCTGAAGGATGTATATGATCAAGCCTTCGCTTTGCCCCGATGATTTAAAGTACTTGAAACAATAAAATGAAACCGTAAGCAGAAAGCTTAGTGAGTTCCCCCAATGTACCACTACTCGCCATATAAAAAATACAATCATGTATGTTGGGTCCATTGAGTTATCAGACTGGAATACATGTCCACAAACTGGAGTGCCTCGTCCCACTCAATCATCAAACTAGAATGCAATGGGTCTACTCAATCATCGGACTGGAATATCCTAGGGTCCACTCAGTCATTAGATTGGAATACCCCTACTGTATTGGCTTATGTACATCGCAGTAGAGCCTCAAACTAAAACCATAACACGTCGATATATACATAACAGATAAACACATAACCAGTCAGCAGACAAATAGGGAGATCTACAGATCACTACTACATATCAAAATCATATATATACCGGGATACAAATTTAATAGATCACTACAACCTTACAACATCCTATATACCAGGATACATTACCTAGTGGGCCGATATTGCTACCTTCAACCCATAAGTACAGTGAGGAAAACTCACCTCACAGACTAAAGAAATAACTACACATATCACTACTCAAAATGCAGACTCTACTAGCCACCTATTCATCAAATAGTGACCAAACTCAACTACAACTCAAAATACCCAAAATACCCTTAGATTAAAGTTGGTCAAATCCTAGTCAAAGTCAAAAATCAACAAAGTCAACCGAGTTGACTAAGGATGAGTATGCCCAAATTACTCAGCATGTATGCATAGCGTACTCAAGGTCTATATTGGGTTTCTAAGGGAATATACCTATCGTACTTAGAAGTACGCTCAGCATACTCGACCAAAATTCACTTTCATATTAAGTGCTTATTTCATGAAGCCCTTTAGTCTAATTGCAGATCTAGCCCTCAAATATAATTCTAAACCATAAAGTTTCCATCTTTAAGAATTTGCATGCCTAGAAAATTCCCAACATCAAAATCCTAACTTTTCTTAAGCTCTTAAGCTCTCTAACATTTGCATGGAAGGGAATAAGGGACTAAGATTATATATATATATATATATATATATATATATATATATATGTGTGTGTGTGTATGTGTGTGTGTGTGTGTGTGCTTCCTAATAACTTCATAGTGGATAAAGTTCCCAAATTTATCCATCTAAATAGTCCAAACAACCAAGATCTAGTCCTTATGTCACAAAGACACCCAAAACTGTATCTTTATCAACTTATTCCATTAAGTCCAAGACTCCAACGTTCATATCTAAATCAAAATGATGTTTAGATGGATAATGTTTTCAACTTTATCATTAACAAGGTCAAAAAGCTTCAAGATCTAAACCTTATGCACTAAAACGATCAAAAGCTTATAACATCCAAAACTAGCTAGATCTAACAAATGCATCATCAATATTCAAGCTTCATACACCTAGAAGAAATATTCAGGTGAAGAAGGTCTGGATCTACAAGTTCCAATGCAACCAACACTTCCCCAATGAGCTCTTTCTTCTCCAAGATGCATCAGGCACACTCCAAAGCGCTTAAAAATACCTTCTTTTTGCTTACATGGCTAGGGTTAGGGTTTCAAGGGAGGGTTTGGAGAGGGGAAGGATGAGAATGGAATGGGTTTAGGAATGTTAAGGAGCTTAAATAGGGCTCAAACCGCGAAAATAAGGTGTAAGTTTTGATCGCATACGTCCAGCATACTCCAGGTATGCCCAGTGTACTCTAGGTACGCCTAGTACGCCCATCGTACATCTTGTACGCCCAACATACAAAACTAAGCCCAAAATATTCCCAACTTCAAACGGTCATAACTTTATTCCTACTCTGTTATCAACGATCTTTATATCCATATTTCATGCAAGAAGTGTGAAACATTACTTTTCCTGTTTTACCCTTTGACTGTAACACATTACACAAACCAAGGGTTTGGATCGCATAACCAATATTATCAACATACAACAAGGTCTAAACCTTATTCCCTTGAAGCCTAAGGCCTTTTCTTGAGCCATTTATTATTCATAATTTCAAAATAAGAAATTTTTCGAAATAGGATGTTACAACTCGTACGTCGGTCCTAGCCCTAGACCTAGTAAGCTTCTTGCCCATGGTAAACATAAGAACAATAAAGGAAGAAAAAGAAAGAATTACCTAGGAAAATTTGGAGAAAACCCTCTTGACCACAACTGAATATTGAATAAAGAATGACTCGGGTTTATAAAACAGTTTAAATACTAAAATCTCGGCCATTTGAAATTCAAAATTCTTAGAATAATTGAATGATAATATAAATCCAAGATAAATGGGCCACATCACATCATCACTCAAATAAACTTGCTCTCGAAGTGGTGTTATGGGTGTAAATTCTAACATCATGGTGTTATGGGTGTAAATCCGGGGGTAATTGTTTTGGGTAGAATTTTCATCTTTACTTTGTTCTAAATATCTTAAACTTATGCTAACATCATATGGTGTTATGGGTTTAAATTCTCACACAAATCTTATGCAGGATTCAAAAGCAAAGGATTTTGACCAACATTTTGATCAATGTACTAGATATTATTAACCTTCATGTTTTCTATTTATTTCTTTATTTATATGATTCATGTTCTGAATCTGTCAACAAAATATCAATAAAGACCGGGTCAAGATGGAATCACAATTAGAAACATGAAGAAAAGACATAGTTACCTCAGAAATCGGGATGAGATAAGACTATTAATCAAGGATCTCGGAAGTGAAGATAATATTCTGTTGTCAATAAAGATTTATTTTTACGAAGGGCCTCCTCAAGTCTATATTCACGGATTTCAGATGCAATTGTAGTGTTTTTTCATGACCTCCCCTCAAGTTACATGGACGTATAGTGTACCTGTATTTTAGTCCATTGTTATATCTCTTTGCCCATTATTTAGCTCGTAGCTTTTTAATGTATTATATACATCTTTGGGATCAATCAGACTAACACATTACATGAAATTATCTCAATCTAATAATAATTTGGACAATGCTTATTCTTCTCAAGGAGTATTTCTTCTATATAAGCAATAAAATGTCTTATTATACATACCTTAATTAGTAAAATATAGTAACTCATTCGATTGTTTACTTAATTAATTTTATAGTTACTTTTCCAATTTTTTTTATTTACTATATAATTTTACTCTCCTAAGACATCATAATGGTCCACCACCTATCTTGGAAGTTTGCGGGTATCCACCATCTTTCCAAATTCAGAGATGTAACTTAGTCAAAACAGTATAAGATAATAATAGAGGCACGCCACTAATTCAAAGTATATTATCACGAGCAGATAATAGATATTTCATACAAGAACGCAAATCTAGCCAACAATTTTTAAATTATTTTAAATTCAAACATATAAGGAAAAAATCCGATTACCTTTTTTTTTTTTTTTGGTAAACTAGTTTTTTATTTAAACATATGTTTACTAAAATAAAAACTATTTTTAAATTTAACCACATTTTTCCTCTATAAAACCTCCCCTTCAATCTAATGGATTTGAGGCAACCGACTAACTAAATCCAAGATAAAACAAAAGAACATGCCCTCTTTATCATCTATAACAAGAAGAAACATGAAGAGCCAGAATACGCTGATCTGCATATATGGCTTCTTCACATTTGTACTTCTGTGGTCATCGGAAATTGGGGCCAATGCCACTAGAGAGGCCAAGCAATGGCGGCACCCCGGTGGCGCAAGGCAGCTGCTCAGAGAGACGTTTTACCCTTCGTATGGAGAAAGCATGCCGAATTCATTTCAGTATAGGAAAACCTCTACAATCTTTAACGTATTAAACTTCGGTGCTAAAGGTGATGGGACAAGTGATGATACAAAGGTATGCGAGTCTAAGAATTTACTTGCTTTTGAGCAAACCGCTTGACCCGTTTCCAACCAGTTAGATCTGCTCATTTTGTCACCTATACTTTGCAAGATTGACCAAATGTGTTGTATTCAAACAGGCATTTGAAGCAGCATGGTTTGCTGCTTGTAAACTAGAGGCATCAACCATGGTTGTGCCCAAAGGTTCAGTCTTTTTGATCAAACCCATATCTTTCTCTGGATCCGATTGTCAACCAAACATTATCTTTCAGGTGAGCTTCAATTCACTTTTCGATCTCATGGTTATATATGTAGCTTATTCATTCATGAGAATCAGTTAAGTTCATTAAAATTTTCAGTTAGATGGCAAGATTATAGCTCCAAAAGCCTCAGGAAGTTGGGAATCAGGCCTCCTTCAATGGCTGGAATTCACAAAGCTAAATGGGATCACAATCCGTGGAACCGGTATAGTTGATGGTCAAGGCTCGGGTTGGTGGACAAAATCAGGAACTAAACCAACAGTAAGAACTACAAGAGCCAATTGAATATCCTTTTATATATGTGTGTAAGAATGTCGATTTGGTAATTTGTTCTGACGTTATAATGATATGTTAACGCAGGCTATAAGGTTTTATGGAAGTTCTGATGTGACAGTAACGGGAATAACCATACAAAACAGCCCACAAACTCACCTCAAGTTTGATAACTGTCAATCCGTTCAGGTTTCCGATATTACAGTTTCCTCCCCAGGCGACAGCCCAAATACAGACGGAATTCACTTGCAAAACTCTCAAGATGTAACGATTCAAAGCAGTAAACTCGCTTGTGGTATTTTTTTAAACACATCTTTAACTTTAGCCTTTTGTTATCAAAAAACGATATATATATATATATATATATATATATATATATATATATATATATATATAGTGTTGGTGTTTGAATTCAACAGGTGACGATTGTGTTTCCATACAAACCGGGTGTTCAGCAGTAAACATTCAAAATGTGGATTGTGGACCTGGCCATGGAATAAGCATAGGGAGCCTTGGTGAAGATAATACGAAGGCTTGTGTTTCAAATATAACTGTTCTTGATACAAAGATCCATGACGCAATGAATGGTGTACGAATAAAGACATGGCAGGTAGTTAAAAACGTCTCCATTTTTACGTGAATAAGTTTAAAACTACTCTTATGCATGTACATGTACTCTTGAACAAACGTTAAAGCCTTCATTTTCATTACATTTTGTAGGGAGGCTCGGGCTCCGTGCAAGGAGTGACATTTTCGAACATTCAACTTTCTCAAGTCAAAACTGCAATCGTAATTGATCAATACTATTGTGATGGGAGCAAATGCAAGAACGATTCATCAGCTGTGGCTGTTTCAGGGATATCATTTGAGAACATAAGAGGGACGTATACCGTAAACCCTGTTAAATTTGCATGCAGCGATAGCTTGCCATGTACAGATATAACTTTAGACACTATAGAGTTACGACCAGTACAAGGAAGTGCTCATTTCAGCAAACCATTCTGTTCGAATATCTATGGAGAACTTAAAACAAGCACGACCCCTCCAATCGATTGTTTGGTCGTTGGAAAACCATCAAGAAAACAAGGTCTAAATAACTACGATTCTTGCCAGAATTGATGCTATTTCTATGAGTAGATAAATGGATAACAAATAAGTTTATTACGTTTTCCTGTAATCAATATAGAAAGAGTTTCATATTACGCGGTTTATCATTTTATTGTCTTTTAGAAGTTCAAATGGTAACAATTATATGTATTTTAATTACATATCGTATGAAAGCTACTGAAGTTAACTAGTCTTACAATATATGATTAGTAAGTTCTACAAACTTATTATTTTATTATACCTAGAGTTGGGTAGATTTTGTATATGTTGTCTTTTGCAAGGTTGTGTTGGTAAATGCATTTAAATGTCTTAATGAATAAATATTGATGGATCAGGTAAAAAAATGTAATATTATGTAAAGAAGTGGGTTGCAGCTCACTTGTTTAGAAGTCGAGGGTGAAGGACATGTGTATCCTTTGATCCATGGGTTATTACCTTGACTCGATTATATATTGAAGTAGGGAGTGTAGATGGTTCATTAACATCACTTTTACACACACACAACTCTCTCTCATCACTCTCACTCACTAAAAAGTGTTTAAGGTTTGTGTTGGTTCACGCCCTTATTGTGATCAAAACTAGTATACCCAAATAAAGCAAAAGGCAGAGTTACAGAGAAAGATTCAAAGTTTTCTTCTTTTATTCCGGATAACCAAAACAAAGACTTACAAGGCTTTTAAATAACAAACAAAACAATGTAACTGCAAAGCTAAAACTGAATAAAGGTGTGCTCCTCCTAACTAGGAGGCAACTAAGCCACTTATTATGGACAAGGTCAATTAAAAACCAAGTCAGAATTACTTTTTCCTCCACATACTTCCCCTTAATTCTGACCTTTGTCCTCAAGCCTTATAACTCCCAAAAGATTTCTCATCGATAAGAACTTGAGTCTTGGCAAAGCTTTTGTCAAGGGATTTGCTCTTTGTTCCTCACCACTAATGTGTTTCACATCAATCTGCTTCCTTTCAATACAACCCTGTATGAAATGAAACTTAGTGTCAATGTGCTTGCTCCTCCCATGAAAAACTAGGTTCTGCATAAGGGTTATGGTTGATTTGTTGTCTACATACATCCTGACACTTTCTTCCTTCCAACCAGTTAGCTCCTTCAGCAAACTTCTTAACCAGAGTGCTTGACATGTTGTTGGGGTTGCAGCCATGAATTCTGCTTCACATGAAGATAAGGTTACGGTTTGTTGTTTCTGGGATGACCATGTTATTGGATTCCCAGAAAAGTAAAATACCATCCCCGTTGTGCCCTTTCTGCCATTAACATCCATTCCGTAGCTGCTATCACTGAAGCCAATCAAGTTTTTGTCTCTGCCTTTCTTGTATACTAAACCAAAGTTGGTTGTTCCCTTTATGTACCTTAATATATGTTTGACTACTTTAAGGTGGCTTTCCTTTGGAGATTCCATGTACCGACTCACTACTCCAACTGAGTAGCTAAGGTTCGATCTCGAGTGAATGAGGTAACGGAGGCTGCCAATAATCGCCGTTAGTCAGTGGCATTGACTGGCACTCCATCTTCATCTTTTGTTAGAGCAAGCCTTAGTTTCATTGGGTATTTTGATGAATTACAATCTCATATGCCTTCTATTAGTAATATCTTCTTAGCGTACTCGGTCTGGCTGATTATGATACCTTCTTACCCTTGTTGGACTTCTATCCCCATGTAGTAGGATAGACTTCCCACTTGTACCTGTCACGATTAGGTCGCCCATATAAACACCCACAATCACGGTTTTATTAGGTTTCTGGAGCTTGTATAAGGCATATTCCAGTGGACACCTTTGGAATCCCATCTCTTTCAGGGTCTTGTCAAGTCGATCATTCCAAGCTCTTGGTGCTTGTCGCAAGCCATACAACGCCTTGTTAAGCCTGTGGACCATGTTTTCTTTTCCAGCAATGATAAAACCTGTTGGTTGAGTAATATAAACCTCTTCATGTAGGATTTCGTTCAAAAACGCAGATTTCACATCCAAGTGATGAACTTTCCACCCTTCACTTGCTGCCAATGCCAGTACCAAGCGAATTGTCTCCAGACGAGCCAACGGTGCAAAGGCCTTATCAAAATCTACACCTTTTTGTTGTACATATCCCTTTGCAACAATTCTTGCTTTGTGTTTTGTTACTTTCCCTTCTGCATTCTTTTTCAACTTGAATACCCACTTCAGCCCTATCGCCTTTTGCCCTTTAGGAAGATGAACAATTTCCATGTATTGTTGTTTTCAACTGATTCCAGCTCTTGTTTCATCGCATTTCTCCATTCTTTGTCACCTGATGCTTCTTCATACGTGGTGGGTTCTTCACCTGTGTACATTAGCATCTCTGAATCATCTTCCAGCTCATGGGTTTCGTTATAGGTGTCTGTCAAGGTTCTAAATCCTCGAACAGGGGTATCATCGTACTTGGACCTATCTACGACTTCTTCTGATGCTGGAATCGTGGAGTCTCCTAGACTAATTCGGACTTCGCTCACAGGAGGTGAATGATCGAGTGGTGTCGTAGATGACTAATACCCATTTGATGGCGAACTAGGGCTTCTAATTTATACTAATGATGGATCGAGTTCCTCCATTGTATCTTGGGCTACTCCTTCACTAGGGAATCTGACCCAAGAATTACTTAGTATTGGGCCTTCACAGTGGACTTTAGCCCAATCCCATTTCCTTTTTTCTTCAAATACGACATCTCTTGATACATATATTCTATTTCGTTACGGCAATACAACTCGAACGCCTTACTTCCTGCTTCGTTTCCCAAATACACCATTGGTTCGCTTCTATCTCCCAGCTTCGTGATTTTATTCGTTGATATCTTTGCATGAGCTACACAAATGAACACTCTAAAGTGCTCCAAAGTTGGCTTCATCCCATGTAGTACTTCATATGGAGTCATGTCTTTTACTCCTTTTGTTAGGACTCGATTTAAAATCTTCACGGCGTGGTGAACGGCTACACCCTATAGTATTTCTGGGACGTCCATCGCTTTTAGCACGAACCTGGTGACTTCAAGAATTGTGCGGTTCTAGCGTTCTACCACCCTGTTCTGTTGAGGGAGTAGGGTGCGGTCAATTGCCTCTTGATTCCTTCCTGATTGCAGAACTTAGTGAATTCATTTGACGTGAATTCACCTCCTCGATCTGTGCGCAACATTTTTAATTTGAATTTCCCTTGACATTCTACTCGATTATTGAACTTCTTGACGGCAGTGAGAGCTTCACTTTTGGATTTGATTATCGACAATCTGACCCAAGAATTACTTAGTATTGGGCCTTCATAGTGGACTTTAGCCCAATCCCATTTCCTTTTTTATTCAAATACGACATCTCTTGATACATATATTCTATTTCGTTTACGGCAATACAACCGGAACGCCTTACTTCCTGCTTCGTTTCCCAAATACACCATTGGTTCGCTTCTATCTCCCAGCTTCGTGATTTTATTCGTTGATATGAGAAGAAAGTACCGATTGCCAGCTAGTGTTTGGGGAGTTATAGGACCACACAAATCTGCATGAATCAATTCAAGTGGAGAGCTTGCACACCACTCTGTTTCTTTTGGGAACAAATATCGGGTCTGTTTGGCAACTAGACATCCCTCACAGATTTGTGTGGGATGGTGAATTCTTGGCACTCCCCGCACCATGTCCTTTACCATCGTAGACTCGATCACACAGAAGTTTATGTGACCCAATCTTGTGTTCCACAACCATGTCGTATCATCGAAGTTAGCACTAAGGTACACAGGTTGTGTTGTATGCAAGACAATCTTGTACAACCTGTTCTTTGAACGTTGTACCTTCATTATCAACATGTTGCTAGCATCATGAACCCTTAAGAATTCATGAAGCATCTCGATCTTGTATCCCACTTCTATCATCTGTCCTAGGCTAAGTATATTGTTTTGTAAAGCTGGGATGTAATATTCCTTAGAGATGGCTTGTTTCTCTCCATTTTTGCATTCCAAGAGAATTGTACACCTTCATTTGATCTGACCTTTTGACCTGTCCCTAAAACACACCTGCCCTGTTACCCTTTCATCAAGTTCTGCAAAGTACTCACGTACCCCTGTCATGTGGTTATTGGCTCCATTATCCAAGTACCATGTATCCTTCTCATTTCCTTTTGTTGTTGGGAACACTTTATCTTCATTTAGCAATACCCAGTGATCCGTATCCTCACCCCATATAATTAACAGCAAAGCATGTTCTTCTTCTTGCACCTGTGTTAGATTGACATTAGCTTTTGTTACGTCCCAAAATACGATGCAAAAATTTTTGTTTAAATATTACTAAGGTTATCAATGATTTATAATATATCATGAAATCGAAAAGTTATAGATTTAGCACACAAAGGCAGTGAACCTGCCTTTTGGTGGTATAGTTGGATAAGTAGAGTGTCGAACTCAGGGAACGGAAATTAAACTAATAACTAATTTTAACTAAGCAAGTAATAAAAGTAAAGGTTTTTCTCTAGTTTTACAAGACTAAAAACTTAAGCAAACCACCTAACAAGTGATTAACTAAAAAGTAAATCAAGTAAAATTCACCAAATTTGATAAAGTGTTTATGTTTAGGTGCAACCAATTCACTCCTACGGTTATTTGTGTAATAATATGATAAAGTAGATGTTATTGGTTACAAACTCTAGTGGTTAGATTCATGTTCACTAATACTAACCTTTAGATAATTAATCAATTCAAGCAGTGGCCAATTGTTTAAACTAATTAATTCCCTAGTTTAATTATTTGGATTAAATAAGATTTGTAATTGGTTAATCAAGTGGGTGTTTCAATTAACCTCTTGTTTGTTGGTTTCTCAAACAAGCTCACACATTAATTTACGCATTCTCTTATTAATTCTAGTTTCATGGTCATTATTCCTAGACTTATGATAAAGTGGTCACATAAACATATGAGGTTAACAACTAAGAGATGTTCATGCAACTTAATTGTCTTCCAATTAACAGAAAATAGTTGTGGTTAATGCATAATGTTCTTTAACAAACTTAATTTAATAAAATCACCAATAAACAATTAACAAAAGTAATAATTAAACCATAGGAGTAATTTGGTTCTTCCTAAACAGAAACAATCCGAA